CATCTGTTCAGCTATCTATCCAGCGATATTTCTTTCTAACCACCCTAGAATCGTCTACCGACCCTACCTACCTGCCTACCTACCTACCTACCTACCTACCTACCTACCTACCTACCTCCCTCCCTGCCTACCTACCTAGCGACCGAGCGACCGAGCGACCTGCCTGCCTACACACGTGCCTCAACAAGCTTACAGAATTCTGGAGAGCGTTCTGCTGGACTGGTCGGAGAGATGTGCGGATGGACAGGTGTTTGGGCTCCAGTCGGCATTGGGGACTTACAGCATCTTTACCGATTAGATTTCGGATTTGGACTCTGCATCAGGAGAAAAATACGGTCAAGTCGAGACCGACAGGCAACCCCATTCTTCAAGGAGTGGCAAAGCACTGGCAAATCTTGATTCTGGTCGTGGAAAGCCCGAAAACTTGTCCCAAGCCCTTGCTGTCGTCCACCTCAACCAGCCGCCTTTGTGTGTCATTATCCTCAGCAGGCATTGGCATGGGCTCAGGTGCACAAGGCACCCTTGCGCATGAAGTGCAGTCATAGTTCGGCATGAGCCCTGGAGGATTGCGATGTAATGCCGATGACAAGGTGAGGCTCCGAACCGGTTAACCGGAGGCCAGCTTCAAGCACGACTGACTGGAGTAAATGTAAGCACGAAGCTCCCAACTCGCTGCAAACTCTAATCACCGTGACCAAGGCGAAACAACTTCACCACAAAGGCCCGCTTAGGCTCGCACTGCTCCATCTGATGTCCATGAGGACACCGGAGAGGTGTGTCAGAAGCCTGCGATTAACAAATTGGCTGATCCCGACGATACACATGTGCATAAGCCGCATGCAATGCAAAGCAAGCACTTCGGAAAACAAGCCCTCGAGGACTGTTTGACCGATTCAGGTGTGTGATCCTTGCTACTACAAGACACCTTGGAATACATGATGATGGTGAGAGATGATGGCGGCGATGGTGTTTGTTCTTGTTGCGAGCACCAGGTATCACTGACTGCTGAAACCTCTGCAGCTGCAAGCACGCCCATGCCGAGAGCACGGGGCAGTCGAACCGAGAGGAAACCTCACCGTCTTGATCGGTGCTACAATAAGCCAAAACGCCCTGAATCTGAAGGACCAAGGCTGAAGCCAAAGGCGGAGCCTTGAGCCTCGAGCGAAAATCCTCTTGCACTTCGGGAGGATCTTCCGGGACATATCCTTGGAAGCTCTTGGATGGCTTTACAAACAAATCAATAGGCCTCGTGAGCATCAGCCGAGTTGCACCTGTTCTCGCCGTTACAGCTTCAAGAGCCTATAAACGGGTACTGTAGAAGCCGATGTCTCTGGACAAGAAGGACGTGTCCACGGTTCGTTCGTTCGTTAACAGCGTATGCCTCGTGGCCTTCAGGGCCTACTGAACAATATCCCCTTCAAGAAACGGACTCAGCCATACTGCAAAGCCAAAACCTCTGTCAGCAAGACAGCTGAGAATCTGCCGGTAACCTGGTCGATAAACTTTGGTGTTGCTGCTACTAGCGGCGTTTGTTTTCAACCCCGTCATCTTGTGCATCATCGACATCAAGATCACCGTTGTCGGCAGCGACGTAGTCATGATTTGTCATCGTCGTCAACGCGGTCGTCATCCTCATCCGCATCATCACGAGTACTTGCATTGTCGGATTGAAGCGAAAGGGCTTTCAAGGGATTCAGGCGGCGGACTTGGACTTTCAAGTCGAAAAACTGCGCCGTGAGCTGTCACAGGCACGACAACTCGGCACGCGTGCGCCTCGTAAATGTGTCGACCCACCTATGTGCATGTATGTGGACCTCTGGTCCAAGGGTCATCCATCAGAGATCGGGTCCCTGATTTTTTGCCCTGATAGGACTGATAGGAGCTGTCAAGTTTAATTAGCCTCTGTCAGAACCTTTGATATCATAGAAAGAGCTGTCTATAAATTCTATAGACCATGTTCGGAACGTTTGAGACATCTGCGTGATGCCTCATAACGAGCCAAGCGGCGTCTTCGAAAAAAACGCATCGTTACAGCATCCTCTTGTCAGAAAGCTGTGCGAAAGCGCCGGCCATTGCTAGTGGACTACGGCACCGCACAGCTGTTTTTGCTATTCTGGCACTAAAGCGTTTGGGACTGTACGGTCCTGGAGTTGAGTTGAGTTGGGATCTTGGCTCAAAGATGTGAGGATTCGAGACAGCTGTCATTGGCGTGCATGGGCTGGCTTTAGAGGGTTTGAGTCTTGGCTTCTCGGAGAAGGCCTCATGCTGCTTCCCGGCGAGCCGAGACTCATGAAAGATGGGTGTGGTAGCATGCAGTGTCAGCCGCCTGCATTAGTCCCACATGCACCGATGTCCTCTGCATTCCTCTGCAACCCCCTGCTTCGGTACCCTAAAATAGGCTGTCCAGCTACCAGCACGTGTCAGACATCGGAAAGTAGCACTGTGCTGCAAGCCTAACTTCGTCCACAAGGACGACAATGTGGAGCAGAGACGCCAAGAGTCACAATAGGTAGGGACTTTACATGCCTTCAATCAAAGTCACACCGAAACCCGTGCTTCCGAAAACACTGTGCATCGATAAACCTAGAAGCTCCCGAAAGGAAAAAACACAGTGGACCTGAGGGGCGATGGACATGATCGATGCAGGCTTAGATTAGACCTGAAACTTGTTAACTGCACCCGAGAAAAGCATAGTGGCATAGTACCGTATGGTACAATATCAATATAAGGCATATAATTCAAACTAACACAAGATCCTGCATTCTGCTGGATGCCTGCACCGCTGCCTTTTCAGCTTCGGTGCCGGCGCTTGCCCAGGCCTCGGTCTCAGGTGTCCCATCTCACTGGGCTTGGGGCAGACCAGAGCATACCCAAACGAAGTCTCAGCAACTTACAAAGGAAGCCCGAACTCACAACTTGCCGGGACGAGCCACTAGCTTCGGTTCTGCGGGCGCTGGCGAACTTGTCGGGCAGGGTACCACGCCTCGATCCGAAAGTTTAGAGCAGGAGCTGGCGGAGTACTGGCTGCGTACCCCAGTCGATCCAACGAAATGGCTCACGTGCACGGATCTCATGGCCGTGGCTGCCGTCTTGAGAATAGAGCCCAAACGAAACGAACAGAATCGGAGCAACTCTCGCATGTCTGAGCGAGCGCTGCATGAAGAAGAAAAGCCTACAGCCTAGATCTCACAGAATCTTAGGATGTTCGAATCTCTGTTGCACTGTTGTTTTTAAGTTCTAGTTAGTTGCTGCTGTAAACGAAACTCCACCGTGCCGGTTTCCGCGATGCGAGGCGCCTTGGTCGAAGTCGGGCTCCGGTGTGCCTGGCAGCTAGCGATGTATACCCTATTAACTTTCACGGAGATGCATGCTACTACAACAACAGCAACAACAACTAATATCATCACTACTACTACTACCACCACCAC